GGGTTTAGTATTTCTACCTGACTCTGAGGAGCTCTCCCTGTGTGTGGAAGGACAGGCGTTTCAGGGAGCGGTGGGAGGGGGTAGGTTTAATATTTCTACATGACTCTGAGGAGTTCTTGTGTGTGGAAGGACAGGCGTGTCAGGGAGCGGTGGGAGGGGGTGAGATTAGAGCTGGATAAAACCCTCTAAACTTCTCGAACAAGAGAATGACCTCATGGATGGGGAGGTCTGAAAACTGGCCCAGCATGATGGTGTGGGGGGAGGCAGGCCAGGGTATGCACTGCTCCCTGGGGGGCAGCTGACAGCCAGTGTGGTGAGCAGTGCCACCAGCAGGGCCGAAGGGACCACTGACTGCCCGTGGAGCCTGGAGCGCGGAGTGGGGATGGGAGATGTCTTGGCTGTTTGTGAGCGACCTGCCCTTGACTTGCAGTACATTGATGCTGAGCTGCCCCCCGAGTCACCCTATCTCTACGGCCTCCACCCCAATGCGGAGATCGGCTTCCTGACCCAGACCTCGGAGAAGCTCTTCCGCACGGTGCTGGAGCTGCAGCCGCGGGACAGCCACGGCGGGGACGGAGCGGCGGCCACGAGGGAAGAGAAGGTATGTGGAGGGGGAGCCGAGGTCACTCTGGGAGCTGAGGACTGCACACGGGGACTGGCCAGTTGGCCATGCACAGCACAGACCCCACTGAGCACACAGTCCCCACAGCCCGTCCAGCCCTGACATGCCTGCCCTTCAGTCCAAGAGCCGGGCCCGGCCACCATCCTGGCCATTGGTTGCATCCTAGGAAGTCACTGCCATTGGATTTGGCAGTTGCTTTGCTAGTCTGCCCAACGTCCATTTTAATTTAGTTTGTCTGCCAAAGCGAAGGAAGGGAACAGTGGTGGTTTGGGAAGCTTAAAACTGACTTCATGATTCCTTGGCAAACTAAGTAATGACGGAGGGAGCTGTCCCTAGAAACCGCCACCCTCATTCCACCAACAAGGTGCTCACTGGGACTCACTCCTCCTCTTCAAGACAATAGTGCCTTCTCTGTGTATGAATGACATTTCATCAGAGAGTCTCCTAACACACAGTTAAGAGCTACTAAGCACAGGACTTCCTGAAATTTCCAGAGGGTAGAGGGGAATTAGGGGGTAGAAAGGCAGACTGGGGTGAGGTATGGGTTTGGGGACCACAGGAGGCTATGTGAGGGCAGGAAGGAATGGGGCACTGAAATGTAATTTCTTATGAAGATTTCCTACACAAGCAAACTCATCCTGAGAGGGGTACCCCCTTAACCCCCACCCCACTCACAACACTCAGGTTCCTTTCATTAGAGATTCCATTGCTTTATGAGAAAACATACTGGGAAGATGAAGGATTAAGAAACCTGGGAGTTGGGGGTGACCGGGGAGAGGTCAATGAGGGGAAAAGGAGACATATGTAATACATGTGTAAGTTTAAATAATAAAGAATTTTTGAAAGAAAAAGAAGAAAGAAACCTGGGAGTCATCAAACTTTTAGGCCCAGGGATTTGCACCTTAGCAACTTGATGCAGGTGAGCAGACTTGCAGGCAGCTGCCCTAAATCAATCCACCGTTTGATGGTACAATATAATTGGAGAACAAAAGGAAGAGAAGAGATTTACATTACCCAGAATCTAAACCATGTAGAATGGAAAACATTCCCAGCTCTAAAAATGAAAAAGGCTGGGACGATATAGGTAATAGGATATTCTCCAAGTAACATTCAAAGAAGCTTCCAGTTCTTATAATTTCCTTATCCCCTTCTTCCAACTAATTCAAGGAAGTGTGTGTGTGTGTGTATCTGTGTGTGTATGTGTATCTGTGTGTGTGTGTGAGTGTGTGTGTGTGTGTTTTTCAGAAATGGATGAACTATGATCACTTGCCAAACTAGGAAAACCTATTAGCACCACAGATACCAGGAAGTGGGCAACTTTTGCTATTATACAGAGTTCCTACATATGGGAAAAGAAAGAGAGAGAAGAGAGGAGGGGGAAGGAGGACACAAAATAAATTCATGATCATTGGCCATAATAATCCAAGTGGCCAATAAAAATATTCTCAATGTCACTATAACTAAATGAACTTAAGTGAAATATCATTTTTCACCTAATGGCAAAAAAATTTTAATGTGATGCTATGCAGTGAGGAGGGCCTAGGACAGTGATGGCAAACCTATGACACACG